CACCAAGGACACACAGGCTGGACAGTTCAGACCAGGCCCGTAACCAACCATTATGAAGTGTGACCCAAGAAGCCCACAGAGACGCCAAGAATCCCAGAAATACAAGTGTCCCACGACAGAGCGGATTCCACATTATACCCGACGACGATGCCCCCTGGCTCAGTGCTGGGTGGGCTACGATGCCGGATTTAGGCACAACCGTTTTTGAGAGAGGCGACAGCTGTGGATGTGCCTCCTAGCGCCGCCTCCGCCGGCTGCGCGGTCTGAGGCGCTCGCTGGCCTGTCTTGACTCTCCGTTTCCTAATCTGTTAAAGCAGAACGGTGAAGACTCCTTGCAATAATCACCGAGCGCGCGGCTGCCTCCGAATAGGAGCCGCCTACACCGTCAAGCCTGAGAACCCCCAGGCCCCCATAGGCGAACAAAGGTCGCGCCGCTATCCGCCCGCCGGGGTAGCAATTGCGGGTTGGGACCTGAGGCCCCGGGCCCGCCCTTCCGCAGGCGCAGCTCGTTCCCAGCACGGGCGGCGCCCCAACAGCTCTACAGCTCCCGCCTAGCCCAGGGCAGGGCCTTGCGTGGGTGGCGCATGCGCCGAAACGCTCGTCCCCGGGCTCCCGCGCAACGCAGGCCCGGGACCGGGAGGGGCGTTTCCCGTCAGGCCCCGCGGCAGGAGCCCCGCCCGGGAGAGGTTGGTGGGGCCGGGGCTGCGTCGGGGAGAACCGGCAGGGGGCGTGAGGCCGACTTTCAGCTTCGCAGACTGACCCGGACGGAACACTCGAGAAAAATACAGGCAGTGCGAACATTAAAAAAGAAAACAAGCCCGTGACCGCAGAGCTTGTCCTACCACAGAGCTGGTGGTGTTGGCAGTAGTCGTAATGATGATAAAATATGATAGTGCCAGCTTCTCAAAATTGCTTGTAATGCATAAAAATTATAGATGAATAAAAATACACACAAACTAAAAGAAAACGACTACCACACGCAGCCCGATCTCCCGTGGATGACTGTGCACAATCTTCTGACATTATACAAATGCATTTTAAGGGCATAACTATTATAGCATGTTTTCAGTGAAGAATATAAACATTTTCTCGGTCAATATATGTCCCGGCTCTTACTGATAATTTCAAATAGAAAATTTGAAAGCATTCAATGAGCAGACATAAACACCTCACTTAGAGTCAACAGCTGTTATATTTTGCCAGGTTTATTTTATCTATCTAAATGTATAGTCATTTATGATGACATTTCAGCCCTGAATATGTCATCATTGATCTTCTAAGATTAAGGACACACTCCTACGTTATCACAATAACATTATCACACCTATAAAATTGAACAGTAATTCCATAAAAACCTTCTAGTATCAACTCCATATTCACATTTCCCCAATTGTTCCAAAATGTCTATTACAAAGATTTTATAAAGTTTTTTGATGTTGTTTTTTTAAAAAACCAGGATTCTGGGAGGCCTGAGTGGCTCAGTCAGTTGAGCAGCTGCCTTTGGCTCAGGTCATGATCCTGGGATCCTGGGGTCCTGGGATCCTGAGGTCCTGGGATGGAGTCCCACGCGGTGAGCTCCCTGCTCAGTGGGAGTCTGCTTTTCTCTCTCCTTCTGCCTGCTGCTCCCTCTGCTTATGTGCCTCTCTCTCTCTCTTTGTCCAAAAAATAAATAAAATCTTTAAAATAAGTAAATAAATAAGTAAAATAAAAACCAGAATTCAACAAACCCCAAAACAATAAAACCCACACATTAGAGTACCTAGTAGTGATGTAAGGAATGTGTAAGTGAAAACAAGGCAAGATTTACTCTCTAGTTAATGGAGTACTAATTTTCCCACTGGAATAAGTGTAGTAAGTGCATTCTCAAAGAGCATAAATCTACCAATAGGATAGAGAAATTTTGTTTTAATTCTGCTTCCTTTTTTCTGGGATCAAGTCCCACATCTGGCTCCTTGTTGAGTCGAGAGCCTGGTTTTCCCTCTGCCTGATGCTTCCCCTGCTGGTGTTAGCTCAAGCTTTCTCTCTGACAAATAAATAAATAAAATCTTTAAAAAATAATAAAAATAAAAGTTTCATTCCAAAGTTATCAATTTTCAGGCATGTTTTACAGCACAAGTATGAATACCACTCCTGAGTAAATATTTGGGTTAGCTGGTTTAAAAAAAAAAGATTTTTATTTTTGCAACACCAAATATTAGAGTGGCAGCACAAGTCTGCAGATCATTCACAAAAGGAATGTTTCAAAGCACACAAACAGCACTTATAGGAGACTGACACATGATAGTCAAATTTTGTGTGATTAAGGTGAAGGGGATTATGCATAGTAATAACAAATATTGACCTCAAGTTACTGTTTAAGAGAGTTTTAAAATTCTATGACTCCCAACAATTTTTTAAAATTGAGAATTGCTGGGACGCCTGGGTGGCTCAGTTGGTTGGACAACTGCCTTCGGCTCAGGTCATGATCCTGGAGTCCCGAGATCGAGTCCCGCATCGGGCTCCCCGCTACGCGGGGAGTCTGCTTCTCTCTCTGACCTTCTCCTCGCTCATGCTCTCTCTCACTGTCTCTCTCTCAAATAAATAAATAAAATCTTTAAAAAATATATATATTGAGAATTGCATTATTTCAAACTTCGCATATAACATAGAACTTTTCAAGTATTTATTCACATTATTTTAAATTTGCACAATTTAAATTCCCATAAAATGTGACAGCACTGTATTCAACAGGCAGTCCTCTGCACAGTTCACATATGCATGAATTTCAGTCACCATGGTTTAGTTAAAAAATACCAGAACCCCAACAACATGATTCAAACTTCAATTACCACTTTATATTAACTGTCAGTAATCACATAAAGTACAAACAGCTGCTAGCTCTTTGGTCTACAAATCACTACACTAATAATGGCTACACATCATGATCAGTGACAAGTCCCATCTCTCCTTTCAAAGTCTGTTGGTCACCAGTCACTGCAAATCTGTTCCTCAATTCACACAGGGACAGCAACAGTTGTAGTTGCGTGGGCTCTTTGTCTCCCGTTGGTAAACTGTTTTAGTTCCTGAGAACTGCAGAACTGTGAGCACGTAAGGATTCTGTCCAAACCTCTCCTGAGAGACAAATTCTAGCATGACTTCTACCAACATAAGGCTGTATCCTTATGATTTCCCCAACCACTCCCATGCCCACCCTCCCCCCACACACACACCTTGCCTGTCAGACAAACACAGACAGACACACACAGACACACACACACACACACACCATTAAAATGTCAGCCCAAAAAAACTCAACTCCGCCAGAATTTACTGTTTGTGCCAGCCAACAGGGAGGATAGGCCGCTGACTTCCCTTAGAGTATTCACTGTGAATTCTTCCTCTGTCCCTTTGAGATGTACATGTATCTCCTACAACTCAAACATAGCTCTGTCAAGGACCTGAAAAAAGCCAGATCCTTGAAATGAAATGTATTCCTCGGGAAGGATAGGGCCTCTGTCTTTCAGTCTCTGTGGGAGGAAAGGATTCTAATTTTGATAATTACAGATGCAGCTGACCTAATTGCATTTGTCCTTTTTATTTTTTTTAGAGAGAGCAGGCTCTCAAGTGGGGGAGCAGCAGAGGGAGAGAGAATCTTAAGCAGGCTCCAGGCACAAGGTGGAGCCCCAGGTGGGGCTCTATCTCAAGACCCTGAAATCATGACCTGAGCCAAAACCAAGAGTTGGATGCTTGACTGGCTGAGCCACCCAGGCGCCCTGCATTTCTACATTTTAATATTTCACTTTTCTAACTCTATTTGAGTCTCTCCTTGCTCCCCACCACATTTTCCTTTTAAAATATCCTATCACCTCTGCAAAATTAGAATGGAGCTCAACTCTTTCCCCTACTGTCAGTAGTTACTGGATAGAATCTATTTTCACCGCCTTAACTAATGTCCAGCTGTGTTTATCTTTGATACCCTAAAGAAATGAGATGGATTCCCCACCCCAGGTTTGGTTTGGACGTTAAAACGGATGGCACCCTACATGTACAAAGAGGGTATGAAAAGGTTTATTATTCATATAATGGGGCTTTCTGGAGTGAATAGGGATAGTTACCACTCAACCCAAAAATGGCTTGTGAGAGCTTGGAAAAGACTGGCTTAAGGGTTTTATTGTAATTAAGGGGTGGCTGGAGTTGGGGCTTGTGTGACTTGAACTTCCCTCCAGAGTCAGAGGGGAGCACATGGGTTTTCTCATCTGCTTGCTGTGACACAGGGCAGAGGGAGAAGAAAGGGGTAGAGCTGGAAGCTGTCATCAATCCAAGGTTAAATACGGAGTCAGACTATTACACAAACTCAAATGGCATTTAAAAAAAAAAATAGATAACTAAGGGGGAATCGGCCAATGAAGATAAAATTACAACAAAGAAAGCAAAAGTTACAATGCTGGAAGTGAAACTCAAGTCGAACATAGAGCTCCAAAAGCAATAGCTGGCCAGGGGAGTATCAACACTGTCACCAATTTAAGAGGCTCTAGATTTACAGCCCGAGGAACCTGCAGAAGGGGAACTCAACATAACTGACGGAAATGACAAAAGGGATGAAGTCTTAAGGAGGTGATGCTGTTTTTCTGTTTTGTTTTGTTTTGTTTCCTTAAGTCACTGTGTTAGTCTTCTATCAACTCGATATATTGATGTCCAGCAAACTGCTTGTGCACATACGAAAATAGTGAGACAAGTGTCCCTTTGCAATTTAGTTCTTAGGAAATTGCTACAGGGACGCCTGGGTGGCTCAGTCGGTTAAACATCTGCCTTCGGTCATGGTCCCAGCATCCCAGGATCAAGTCCCGCATCAGGCTCCTTGCTCAGTGGAGAGCCTGCTTCTCCATCTGCCTTCCACTGTCCCTACTTGTGCTCTCTCTCTCACACACACCAAATAAATAATCCTTAAAAAAAAAAAAAAAAAAAAAAAAAGACAGCTTTTAAAAAAAAAGGGAAATTGCTACAGTCACAGATTTGCAGGCGTTTATTATTTGTTTTACTAGTTATTTGTTATTAGTTATTTGTTACATAACAAATAACCCGTAATCTGGTGGCTTAAATTAAAAAACGTTTATTATCTCACACCACTTCTGAGAGTCAGGAGTAGCTCATCTATATGGTTCTGTCTCAGGCTTTCTCTTGAGGTGGCACCACAGCTCTCAGCCAGGCTGCAGCCACCTGAAGGCTTGGCCAGGGATGAAGGATCTGCTTCCAGGATGACACAACACATGGCTATTGGCAGGCGCCTCACTTCCTGGCCTTGAGAGCGTCTCAACATGGCAACTGGCTTCCCTCAGGACAACCAATCTGAGGGGGGTGGGGAGAGAACGAGAGACATAAGACATAGTGTACTTTAGAAACATGCCCCAGAAGTGACATGCCACTTCTGCTGCATTCTATTGATGGCACAGGCGACCCTCACTCACACAATGTGGGAGGGGACTATACAAAGAGGTGAATCTGGGGGCAGGATTACTGAGAGTGACAAATTCCCAGAAGGGAGGAGAGTGTGATGTCCTCCGTAGAAGACAAACAGGGGTGGGTGGGTGGGTGTGTGTGTGTGTGTGTGTGTGTGAAGTTCTTCGCACCCACCCGCATTTCTCTTATTTCTCTTCTGGATGTTCTGCATTTTTTCTTCCATTTTTCAACTCTTCCCTTGTATTCTGGTTTTCTCTTTGTAGCTTAAAAAATGGTTCAGGGGGGCGCCTGGGTGGCTCAGAGGGTTAAAGCCTCTGCCTTCGGCTCGCGTCATGATCCCAGGGTCCTGGGATCGAGCCCCACATTGGGCTCTCTCCTTGGTGGGGAGCCTGCTTCCTCCTCTCTCTCTCTCTGTCTGCCTCTCTGCCTACTTGTGATCTCTCTCTGTCAAATGAATACATAAAATCTTTAAAAAAAAAAAATGGTTCAGGGGTGCCTAGGGGCCTCCATCAGGTAAGCGTTCAACTCGATTCCAGCTTGGGTCCTGATCTCAGTGTTTTGAGATAGGGCCCTGCCTCAGACTGTCGGGAGTCAGCTTGAGATTCTCTCTCTCCCTGCTCGCACTCTCTAAAAATATTTTAAAGAAATGGTTAAGATGATAAATTTTGCGGGGCACCTGGGTGGCTCAGTCGGTTAAGAGGCTGCCTTCAGCTCAGGTCATGATCCCCAGGTCCTACAATGGAGCCCCGCATCGGGCTCCCTGCTCGGTGAAGAGCCTGCTTCTCCCTCTCCCTCTGCCTGCCACTCTGCCTACTTGTGCTCTCTCTCTGTCAAATAAATAAAATCTTAAAAAAATAAAAATAGAAAAGATAAATTTTGCTGTGTATATCGGCACCTGGCTGGCTCAGTTGGTAGAGTGTGAGGCTCCTGATTTCATGGTCCAGAGTTCAAGCCCCACATTGGGTGTGAGACCACTTAAAAAATAATAAAGTAAAATCCCTTTTAAAAAAGGTTAAAAAGGAGGTGCCTGGGTGACTCAGTGGGTTAAGCCTCTGCCTTTGGCTCAGGTGTGATCTCAGGGTCCTGGAATCGAGCCCCGCAACTGGCTGTCTGCTCAACAGGAAGCCTGCTTCCCCCTCACTCTCTGCCTGCCTCTCTGCCTTCTTGTGTTCTCTGTCAAATAAATAAATAAAATCTTTTTTTAAAAAGGCAAAAAAATTTAAGAGACTCTAATGTTTAAAGATTTTTTAATCTGACAGGGATCTCTGGTTTCAAAAATTTCCAGAGATATTATCAAGATTTTTTTTTTCCAGATACTTCCCTCAGAATGCATTAAGAATGTCCCAGATTCAGTAAATTCCTCTGGAGATAAAGGTGGACTACTATTGCTCTGACTGCTCCCCATGCCCAAAGGTGGAGATTAACACTGAGACGTGTGCAAATGCTCTTCCTTCTTACCCTTTCACATTCCTGGTTTTTTTTTAAAAGGTGGAGAGGGATCTAGCAAGAATAGGGCATTGGGATAAAACTAAATCCATACATTCATTAACTAATTATCATGACCCAGAATACCTCTTTCTCTTCTGTGAAATACTTTCTTCCCTAATCTCATTCCCTTTCACCATTTTAGACCTGGCAGTGCTGTAGTTCAATAGAAATATAATGAGATGGGGTGCTCAGTTGGTTGAGCTCGGGTGGCTCAGTGGGTTGAGCATCTGACTCTTGGTTTCATATCTGACTTGGTTTTGGCTCGGGTCATGATCTCAGAGTCAGGTCATGATAACAGGGTTGTGGGATGGAGTCGAGCATTGGGGTCTGCCCTCAGCTCAGCGTCTGCTTGAGATTCTTTCCCCCTTCTTCTCCCTTCCCCTCTGTTCCTCCCTCCCCACTGGTCACATACTCTCTTTTTGTCTAAAATTTACAAATGTTTTTTAATTAAAAAAAAAAGAAATATAAAAAAAGAAATATAATGAGAATATGTAATTTTAAATTTTACTTAAAATAAGAAACAGGTGAAATTAACTTCAATAACATTTTATTTTTTTAAATAAAAATGTAATCAATACAATCAATACAAAAATTATCAAGGTACTTTACATTTTTTATTACAAAGAGTTTTATGCCTCTGATATTTATTTCACATACTTTCATCAATTCGGATTTTATAAGTCCCTTATTCTTAGCATGCTATCATCCTTCTCCTCTGAGAACCAGTACAGTTTTTACTTGAGATGCAGGAACACTTTTCTAATACTCCACTCCTCTTTCATCCTACCACTAATTAGCAGGCATTGTAAACTCTCCAATAATAAAACGATGTAAAATTTGAAACTGACAGTGCTCTTCCAAATAGATTGCTAATATGATCAGGACAGTGAAGGTGTTGTCAATCAATTTCCAGATGAGGAAATGGAGACAATACAATGAAGCTTTTTTTTTTGTACTAAGTCTTCAATATCTGGTGTGTATTTCACACTTAAGAGCATCTCAATTCAGGGCGCCTGGGTAGTTCAGTGGGTTAAAGCCTCTGCCTTCGGCTCAGGTCATGATCCCAGGGTCCTGGGATCGAGTCCCGCGTCAGGCTCTCTGCTCGGCAGGGAGCCTGCTTCCCCTCCCTCTCTCTGCCTTCCTCTCTGCCTACTTGTGATCTCTGTCTGTCAAATAAATAAATAAAATCTTTAAAAAAAAAAAAAAAGAGCATCTCAATTCAATTGCTAAGTTTTCATCAAAAATATTTTATCTGGGGTGCCTGGGTGGCTCAGTCGTTGAGCCTCTGCCTTTGGCTCAGGTCATGATCCCAGGGTCCTGGGATTGAACCCCGAATCAGGATGCCTCCTCAGCAGGAAGCCTGCTTCTCTCTCTCCCACTACCCAGCTTGTATTCCGTCTCTCCCTGCCTCTCTCTGTGTCAAATAAATAAAATTTAAAAAGAAAAGAAATATTTTATCTGTATTTAGATTTCATAAAATTTACTATTTTTTAAAAAGATTTTATTTATTTGACAGAATGAGAGCACAAGCAGGCAGAGTGTGAGGGAGGAGCAGGCTCCCTGCTGAGCAGGGAGACTGATGCGGGACTCAATCCCAGGACTCTGGGATCACAACCTGAGCCGAAGGCAGATGCCCAACCAACTGAGCCACACAGAAGCCCCTAAAATTTACTACTGAAAAAGTATTTATATACCAAATCATTCCAGGCACACTTAAAAGTTTTCCAGAAATACCAGTAACTAAATTAAATATCTGTATTTTTTCCCCAAATATCTATATTTAATACAAACTTACATTAAAATTAAAAGGAGGGATACCTGGGTGGCTCAGGCTGGTTAAGCCCTCAACTCTAGGTTTCAGATCAGGTCATGATCTCATGGGTCATGGGATCAAGCCCCTTATCCTTGGGCTCCATGCTCAGCAGAATCTGCTTGAAAGATTCTCTCCCTCTGCCCCTCCCCCCGAGCATGCTCACTCTCTCCTTCAAAATAAAAAAAAATAAATAAATCTTTAAAAAATTAAAAGGAAAAATTCAGTTTTTTTGTTTTTAAGATTTTATTTATTTAACAGAGAGAGACACCAAGCAGGGGAAGTGGGAAAGGGAGAAGCCGGCCTCCCGACAAGCAGGGAGCCCCAAGAGGGCCCTGATCCAGGACCTCGGGATCATGATCTGAGACGAAGGCAGATACTTCATGACTGAGCCTCCCAGGCATCGGGAAAAATTCAGTTCTTTAGTCACAACAGCCACATTTCAAGTGCTCAACAGCCACATGTGGCTTCGTATCAGACAGGGCAGTTTTGGGCAAACATTCTTTTTAAGGAATTCTTTTGTGAGTATCCCAATTCGTGTTTCCACAAGATTTGTATTTATCTCTTCATTATACTTAGATTTCATTCTGTGTGTGAGGGGTTTTATATCTTTTTTTTTGGAATTAGGCTCTGTGATGTTAAAAAAGATATCACTCTTAGTCATCTTTATATTTCCAGGGCCTGGCACCATTCCTGACCCAAACAGGGGCTTGGGCAAATTGTTACATTTAGTAAACAAACTAGTACTGTAGTGAGTTTAATTGCGGCCTCCCAAGAGGATTATGTCCAAGTCCTAATCCCTGGAACGTGTGAAGGTGACCTTACTTGGAATAAGGTTCTTTGCAGGTATAATTAAAGAATCTCAAGATGAGATCATCCTGGATTAGGATGGGCCCTAAATCCAATGACGGGTGTCCTTATAAGACACAGAAAAGGAGCTGTACCGAGATAGAAGAAAAAGCCATGTGAAGATGGTAGCAGAAATGGTAGGGCAGCCACCAACCGAGGAACACCAAGGACAGCCGGAAGCCATGAAAAGCTAGGAGAGGGGACTGGAATGGAGCCCCTCTCAGAAACGCCAGATAGAGCCAATTTTACCAACACCTTCTGGCCTCTAGACCTGTGAGAGAATTTCTGTTTAAAGCTACCACATTTGTGGCAATTTGTACAGCAGCCTTAAGAAAAAAGTAGTATCATGGCCACAGATCACAATCATGGCAGAAGGCAGACCTCTCACAGGAGCACCTGAGCTGCTAAAGCACCTCCCCGGATTTTATTAATAACCAAAGAGGGTTCTTGTGACTGGAATATAGAAAATACACCATAGGACTCTGAACATGATTTTAGAACAGGAGCAGGGAGATAATACACTCTTGTAACTAAAGATTTTTGATAGCCCGATGCAACATTTTACTAATGATTTAACATGAAGAGAACTCCATCAAATTAAATCTGGTAACCAAATGAGTAAAATCTTAAAAAACAAACAAAAAAAAAAACTACCTAGACTTTTTTATACACAATGAGTCTTTTTCTAATCCATTCTGATAATTTCAGTTGTTTAATTGGTTTGTTTATACCATTTCTATTTCATGCCAAAAAGAATTTAACACAGCAGGCCTGAACCTGCTAACCTTATCAAGGCCTGCCTGCAAGGCTGGTCCCTGGCTGGCATCTGAGAACTGGCCTGGTAAACAGTTGCATACACTCATATAAAACTTTCCCTAAATGGTAAGAGTGGCCCATGGCACTTAAAATGACAAACAAAATGTATGCCGGACACCCGCTTTCCTTCGGAGCATCTGGAATTTCAGCGACTGGCACGGTAACGCCAGCAATGTGTGCCTCCATGACTGACTCCTGAGGAAGAACGTGAATTCCTAGCCTCTGGTGAGCTTCCCTCGTAGACAGCGCTTCACAAAAGTTGTTGCTACTTGTTGTGGGAGAATTCAGTGCATCCTGTGTGACTCCAGTAAGGGGAGTCTAGGAAGCTCAGGTCTGGTTTCTTTTAGATATCACCCCATGAGCCTTTTTCCCTCTGGTGAGTCTGCTTTGGGTCCTTATAATGTAATAAATCTTAGCCACAAGGATAACTATATCCTGAGTCCTATGAATCTTTCTGCGAAAAATAATTTAACTTGGTAATAGCAATTTTAGTTAAATGTTTCACTTTAGCAAAACACACTTAAAATGAACTAACAGGGGGCACCTGCATGGCTTAGTGGGTTAAGTGTTTGCCTCTGGCTCAGGTCATGACTCTGGGGAGTCCTGGGATAGAGCCCTGCTTGGGATTCCCTGCTTGGTGGGAAGCCTGCTTCTTCTCTCCCTCTGCCTCCCCACTCAGCTCGTGCTCAATCTCTCTCTCATAAATAAATAAAATCTTTATAATAAATAAGATAAAATAAAATAAAATGAACTAACGTTAAAAAGAAAGCTTTAAGGGGCGCATGGGTGGCTCAGTGGATTAAGCCGCTGCCTTCGGCTCAGGTCATAGTCTCAGGGTCCTGGAATCGAGCCCCACATCTGCCTCAGCATCTCTGCTGAGCAGGGAGCCTGCTTCCCCCCTCTCTCTCTGCCTGACTCTCTGCCTACTTGTGATCTCTCTCTGTCAAATAAATAAATAAAATCTTAAAAAAAAAAAGAGAAAGCTTTAAATTGAGGCTTCACAATTTCATATAATCACAAAGACCAAAAACCTACAGTATCATGTTTCAATTTACAAACTGAATGTCGTAAAATCTTAACTTACCTTAAGGATTATAAATAAAGAAAAACAGATTAGAGGAGCACCTGGCTGGCTCAGTCATAAAAGCATGTGATTCTTTAAAAAAAAAAAAAAAAAATGTAATTCTTGATTTTGGGGTTGTGAGTTTGAGCCCCACATTGGGTGTAGAGATTACTTAAATAAAAATAAGACTTAAAAAAGAAAAACCAAAAAGATTAGGATGCAAAGGGGCTCCTGGGTGGCTCAGTTGGCTGAGTGTTGGACTCTTGGTTTCCATTAGGGTTATGATGTCAGGGTCATGGGATAAAGCCCTGCATCAGGCTCTGTACTCAGCGTGAAGATTCTCTCCCTCTCCCTCTGCCTCTGTTCCTCCCCCTGTTCAAGTGTGCTCTCTCTCTCTAAAATAAATAAAATCTTTTAAAAAGGATTAGGATAAAAGAAATTACAAAAAAGAATTTTTTAAAGATTTTATTTATTTATTTGACAGAGAGCACAAGCAGGCAGAGAGGCAGGCAGGGGGTTGGGGGTGGGGAAGCAGGCTCCCCGCTAAAGCAGAGAGCCCCATGCGGAACTCAATCCCAGGATCCTGGGATCATGACCTGAGCCAAAGGCAGAGGCTTTAACCTATAAGCCACCCTGGTGCCCCAAGAAATCAAAATTTTTAAAAATGATGAATCTAATACCTTTAATTGAATTTTTCAAATGTGTTTATAGCAACATGGTATTTTTAGATATTTTATTTTTATTTTTTTATTTCACATAACTGAAATCATTTCAATATGCACATTTAATTGCTGAGGTACACTACTACAATATAAACTGAAGCAAGCTCAAAATGCAAGAGACATTTTGAGGCATTACAAAATACTGAAAAGGGAATTTTTTAAAAATACTGATTTCACAATTTCATGTACAAATTGGTTACACAGCTTCCACTTCTGTAATAACAAGCTGCACATTTTTCCTGGGCTCCCTGTATAAGATTAGATTGTAGCCAGTGGAGTTTTCCTACAAAACAAGCTATATCAGCTTGAGCTGTTTGACTAATACTATATATGCCACTGCCCTTCAACCCTGAGCTGCTTCGATTCTGTGGGACTTGAATAATTTAATATATCTGTGTTCCACAGTTTCTCTCTCTCCCCCCCTCCTTTTTTTTTAAGGCCATTTGCTATATCTTCTGTTTAGAGTTAAACAAAAAAGGAAATGAACACTTGATACCCCACCTTCAATGTTGGAAATTCTGCACAAATTCAGCAGACAGCACCAAGGTGAGCTGGGCCTCCAATGCCTTCAGGACCAAGCATCAATGAAGGGACACTGGACAGGAGAGCATCAAACTAGTTTGGGTGCAATCTTTTGTGGCTGAAAACAAAGTAAAAACTGAATAATTTTTCATTTAATATATGTAACAAGAATACATAATAAACATTATTTTCCCCATTTTATAGATGAGGAAGGTAAAGTGAAATATAAATGGCCTTAAGAATATCAAATGGGGGGACGCCTGGGTGGCTCAGTTGGTTGGGCGGCTGCCTTCGGCTCAGGTCATGATCCCAGCGTCCTGGGATTGAGTCCCACATCGGGCTCCTTGCTCATCAGGGAGCCTGCTTCTCCCTCTGCCTCTGCCTGCCATTCTATCTGCCTGTGCTTGCTCTCTCTCCCTCTCTCTCTCTCTCTCTGACAAATAAAAAAATAAAATCTTTAAAAAAAAAAAAAAAAAAGAATATCAAATGGGGGGTGCCTGGGTGGCTCAGTGGGTTGAAGCCTCTGTCTTCAGCGCAAGTCATGATCTCAGGGTCCTGGGATAGAGCCCCGCGTCGGGCTCTCTGCTCAACGGGGAAGCCTGCTTCCCTTCCTCTCTCTGCCTCCCTCTCTGCCTACTTGTGATTTCTGTCAAATAAATAAATAAAAATCTTTAAAAAAAAAAAAAAGAATATCAAATAGGTTTCAGAGCTGAGATTTAATCCCAAGACTCTTGATTCCAAAGCTTGTACAGATACGCCCACCCCACCTACAAGCACTATCTGACATTACAGAGAGTCTATAATTGAATGGAATCAAAATGACACTCAGAGCACATACTTCAGTAGGCCTTTGGACCAAAAACTATAAAAATGACAAAAGGTATCCTAAAAACATAAGTGGCTATCATTGCTGGAAAATGAGAATCATCACCCTCAGTGGACATGAAATTTTTAGGGATTTAAAGATGGGATGACCACAGATTAGATCCACAATTCAGGACCCTTGCATCCCTGGATGCAGATTTTTAAAAGCCTAAGAATAGCAGAAGATGACAGCATGAAAAGAGGCAAGAAGCACCACAGACAGTCTGAGGGCTGGGGCTCCCTCCTCCTCCAGCCCAGACGGCTGAAAGCAGCTGTGGGTCCACTCCCAGGTGGACACAGTTAGTACAACCAGAGCCTCAGAGAAGCGCCCTCGGTGTCTGGCAGCAACTAAGATACCTTAGGAATGCCACCTCACTACTTTCTCCCACACCCAGACCACACAACGCTCCATCCTGTTGCCAGTAAAGGGTAGAAGTCAATAGTATTTGGAGTCACGCCAGCAGGACTCTCACATGACATCGGAGAAACACCAACACCCCGAAGAGTATTATGCAACCAGAAGGACAAAAACTAATACTGAAGGAAAATAAGCCAATACACCAAACAAGAGATTCTGAAAGATGTGTGTCTAATATATTCAAAGAAATATGAGAGGGTGCCTGGGTGGCTCAGCGGGTTGGGCCTCTGCCTTCGGCTCAGGTCATGATCCCAGAGTCCTAGGATCGAGTCCCACATCGGGCTCTCTGCTCGGCGGGGAGCCTGCTTCCCCTCCCCTCTCTGTCTCTCTGCCTACTTGTGATCTCTCTCTCTGTTGAATAAATAAATAAATAAAATCTTAAAAAAAAAAAAAGAAATATGAGAGACTAAGTCACCTGTAAAAGAATATCTTTTATGCAAAATAGTTTTGTTAATTCTTACATTAAAAAACGGAAACAGGGGTGCCTGGGTGGCTCAGTCGGTTGAGCGTAGTAGGGCTCTTGATTTTGGATCAGCCATGATCTCAGGGTCCTGGCATCAAGCCCGGCAACATGCTTTGTGCTCAGCGGGGAATCTACTTGAAGATTCTCCCTCCCTCTCTCTCTATCCCTCGCCCCTGCTCTCTATCCTTCTCTAAAATAAATAAATCTGGACACCTGGGTGGCTCAGTCATTAAGCACCCGGCTTCAGCTCAGGTCATGATCTTAGAGTCCTGGGATGGAATCCCACATCAGGCTCCCTGCTCAATGGGGAGCCTGCTTCTCCCTCTACCCCATTACCCTGCTCATACGCTCACTCTCACTCTCTCTCTCTCTCTCAAGTAAAATAAAATAAAAATAAAATAATAAAATAGTAAATAATAAAATAAATAAATAAATACATCTTAAAAACAACAACAACACAGAAGATTTAGTAAGAGTCAGAGCCTGAAAAATTGCTCAAAATGTCCAGGATCCAATTTTAAAGAAATGTCATACAAAGAGCCATGAAAATGCCACTTGAATGAGAAAAGAAAACCATTATCAACACTAATATCTGCAATATCTAACAAGGATTTTAAAGCAGCTATCACAAAAATGCTTCAGTGAGCAATTACAAACATGTTTGAAACAACTGAAAAAGTACAATTCAGCAAAGAAACAGAAGATTTAAAGAACCAAACAGAAATTCTATAACTGAGAAATATAATTACAAACTAAAAAACTCACTAGATGGGCCCAAAAGCAGAATGAAGAAGGGTGAGGGGGAGTAGTAGGGTATCAGTGAACTTGAATACAAATAATGGAAATTACTCAATCTGAATGACAGACAAAATAGAGCAGCAAAAAACCAGAACCAAACCTCAGGAACCTCTGGGACTGTAACAGAAGATCTTAACATTCAGGGGCACCTGGGTGGTTCAGTGGGTTAAGCCTCTGCCTTGACTTGGGATGATCTTGGGGTCCTGGGATAGAGCCCCACATTGAGCACTGCATCAGGCTCTCTGCTCAGCAGGGAGCCTGCTTCCCCCTCTCTCTCTGCCTGCCTCTCTGCCTACTTGTGATCTCTCTCTCTCTCTCTCTCTGTCAAATAAATAAATAAATAAATTTTAAAAATCTTTTAAATAAGTAAATAGAGCCATAATAAAATATGGCCATATGCTCCATTAGAATAGCTAAAATAAATATTTTAAGTTTTTAAAACTGACAATATCAAGTATTAGCAAACATGTCGAACTGCAACTCTCATGCATTGCTAATGGGAAAATGGTACAGAAACTCTGGAAAAGTTTGGTAATTGTTTACAAAGTTAAACATTTACTCACTCTATAATCTAGCAGTCCCACTGGCTTGAGGGAGGTAAACTGGTACAACTGTTTTCCAAAGTATCTTTATGTGAGGAAGTTAAATGTGGGCAAATCCTAGAACCCAGGAATTCCGCAGTAGGGACAGTCTAAAGTAAGTCTGGCACATGTGACATAGTTTTGGAATATAGGTGAGGTTTGGTGGGGTGAGGTTGGAGCTAACAACCAAGAAAGAATTCACGAGATAAGAGAAGTTTCAAAAGGATCTTCATAAGCTAAAGACGACACAGGATATCAGAGACCTCGCTATTGTCAAATGGAGACTGTATTTCCGTTTAGCAAGTCATTAACATTAAGACAATTAGGAGACAGTCAGGAGCTTCTGGGAGGATGATTATATTCTGCTTGCCTCAAGTATTTGTCAATGGGCTGCAGGTTATATGGACATTTAATTTTATCTACATTTCCTTCTGCCTTTGTTTCCCATATCACGGGTGCCCCCAGAAGACACGTGCTGGATCAAAATACCACTGTTTATAATATCCCAAACTGGAAACAACCTATATGTCCTTTAACAGAATAGTGGAGAAGTAAGTTGTTGCCTGCTTATTAAATGGAATACTATAAAGCAGCAAAAAATATTACAGCTATATACTTGGTCTTAGAATAATCCTATGAAGACAACAGACAAGGCTAATTAACAAAAGAAAGGCACTGAGGAAAACAGTATGAAAACAATTAATATATAGAATCCAAAGACATGCAAAACTTATGTGGTAAACAAAGGCAGAAGAAAAATTATTAAATTTCCTTACTACCTACAGACCCTTGACAAGTCCTTGAAACAGGCAGAGTGACATTCCTCTAGGGACTCAACTACCTTGATGTTAATATTTTGCTAAGGTCAAAAGTCAATCCTGGCCTGACACCCCTTTCCCCCAAGATCCTGTAAGTCTACTTTAACACATAAAAATTCCTTTAGAAACTTCCCTTATCTCTAACCCCCTCAATCCCCCAATATATGTGTTGGTAATCAACCCCCAAGCATATGGCCCACCAATATACATGTGGGGGTCACATGACTAAGGTTTTATTAGATTGTAATAAATGACTTTTTCCTAACAATAGCTAGCCCCCTCAAGGTCCTGGAAACCTTGCTTCCAAAATTCCTTAGAGACTTACACTATTCCTAACCCCCTTCCAACTTTAAAGTATACAATGGGCCACTCCTCATGACCCCATGGTAGCTCTTTCTGCCCACGGGTCCTGTCCCCCTGCTTTAAAAAAATCATCTTTTTGCACCAAAGACGTCTCAAGAATTCCTTTTTGGCTCTCGGCTTTGAACCCTAACATCTTTACTACATCAAAACTATTCAATACATTTTGGGGAGGAAGGAATAAAAACAATTTTAGTTAAATTCTAATTAAAAACAAGTAATTTAAAAGTATAAAATCAAAACAGTAATGGAGGCAGTTAATGATTGATACTATACCAAAAGTTATAAATCAGGGTAGAGTTCTATTAAGATTAGTGGTACATACACAGATTTTAGGTTAAGTAGTATTCTTATCACCTTCAAGACATGTTTTACAATATAACCCTTATATGTCTTATTTCTTATTTTTAAAATGAAAAAACCACTACACATGAAAATCTTGATCATACAGAAAGTATATGAGAGCCGAGACAAAGCTCTGGACCCATTCCCACCCCTCTGAATTTAGGCTTATTCCAAGATGAGTTGTCAAAAAGGAATCAGTGCAAAAAGTAATCAAGGGTATGACTAGGAAAAGGTAAAGAAAAACAAACGGCTGACTACACACAGGGAGCAGCAAAGTGTGACAAGAGACAAAGGAAATCAATGAGGAAATATTTCAGGGGCACCTGGGTGGCTCAGTGGGTTAAAGCCTCTGCCTTCGGCTCAGGTCGTGATCCCAGAGTCCTGGGATCGAGCCCCGCATCGGGCTCTCTGCTAAGCAGGGAACCTGCTTCCCCCTCTCTCTCTGCCTGCCTCTCTGCCTACTTATGATCTCTGTCAAATAAATAAATAAAATCTTTAAAAAAAAAAAGAAATATTTCAGACTGAAGTGTTCAAATTTAATGAAGCAAATAAAAGAAGAGCACAGAGAAGAGATGCAGATAAAAGAGGAAGAAGTAAAATTTCTGGAGAAGACAAGTTTAGAGGTTTGAAATTATTTCCTCAGGGAGGCAGGAAATGGAGCTATAGAGAGAATAAAGTTTTTGAGTAGTAAAGCCTTGTGCAAGTTTGTGACTCTTGAAATATGTGAATATATTGCCTTTAATTAAGAGCCCCCCCCCCCCGCCCCTCCACGTCTCACTACCCTTAAAGGTGTCCCTGCAGGCTGGCGCAGACGTCTCAGACCTGCGGGTCTAGGACTCCCCCGCCATCCCTGGCCTAAGAAAGGGATTCCTCAAACTCAGTCCCTCTAGATCCCCTTATCTCCATCTCCCCAGATGGACTGGCGATTCCCCCACTGGAGCCAAGAATCTTGGCTCCCTCTACAATGAATCCTTCCACAGACCCCCCACATACACACACACATAACACTCCAGATCTCAGTCCCACTGTCCCCACACCCAAGGGCCCAGTTCTCGGTCGGTCCCAGTAGTGCGGCCCTCAGCCTCGGACCCGCCGCCCGTCCAGCCCCTCACCTCGGGATCCGAGTCTCCACGCTCCCGCTCTTCACAGCCGGCACCTCGATCGTCCCTCTGAGCACCTAGAAGAGGGTGGAACGCGGGGAACTTGGCCGTCGTAGCTGAGGCAGTTGAGGCTAGTTTGCCATCACCATGGAAACCCCTGGCAGCGCGCCCTGGGCGGGGCCTCCGCGGGGCCGGGCCTAGCGCACCGCAGGCCCGAGTGCACAACTCCCGCCCGATGGGTGCACGCGGTGTTGGGCTTGCTCGGTCCCTGCTCGGTCCCCGCTCGGCCCTGTACCCAGTACCTATCCCATACCCCGGGAGCCCGCGCCCCAGCCGGCCTCTTTCCCTGCAGAACCCCACCTCTCCGGGAAGATGGAGCTGGAAATGGAGCGCGGCGGGGCGTGGGGTTGGCTCGGGTGGCGCGCCGCGAGGGCGCCATTGTGACGCGCCCGGCCCGGAGCGGAGATTGGCCCGCCGAGCGTGTGCGGGAGCCGGAGCCAGCGGAGGCGGGCCGGAGGGCAGCGGCCGGCAGAGCGCTCCTGAGCCCCGGAGAGTACAGACTGAAAAGCACCCCAGACAATGAGCCCCAAAGACGCCTGGGTCGAAGACCACCATGAGAGAAGAAAATGGGAGCCATTTCCTGCCGAGGGAGAAAGAAGGAACAGAGAACAGCGGAGACATAAAGGCGGCTCCAGGGGCGGAGTTTGAGTAGCGGGCGCGGGCTGTGCTCCCGGCTCTTGGGTCGCTACTCCGCACTATCGGGTCGCTTCTCCTGGCACCCGGTTCCCCCGGAGGACAGGGCTTTGGCCCTCTGGCCTGGTTCTCAGAGACGGGGCGGGGTGCTAGAATGTTCGTTGCTGGAGAAACGCTCCAGTTCGATTTTGAGTTCCTACTACATCCAGGCCACCCGTGTTTTTGCTCTAAACGAGACAGTCTGAACTTGTCAGCCCTTGATGGGGAGTTGCTCGTTAAGCACATGTACACAGCTGGAATTAGCAGTATCGCGGACCAGAGTTGCCATTTCTGTAGCAAAAGCTGCTAAGCAGTCTTCTGTTGCTTTCTGTCTTAATTATGATCAGGTGCTGCGCTAAGAAAAGCAGCTCTCAGAGCCACGGTTGGGAGCTGGCCTGGATGCCCTGATGAACGTAAACAATGTCGTGGAATATTAACGTTAGAATGAGTTCTCTCTCTGACAGAGAAGAAGAAAATAAGACCACTTTAATTGTGCCTGAACAGATAAAAACAGACACTGTGCAAGCACAGAGATGACCAAAACATCCCATCCCCACAGCTAACGTGAGTGACTACTGCTTTAATGACAACTCTAGCCCTGCTCCAATTCCTCCTGCTTTCTGATAAAAATTAAGCTAGTCCCTGAATTGCCCCTGCTTTCTGACTGAACCAGAACAAAACCTGTTTCCTTGGACCCTCCCCCAAATCACCTAACAGAAGCCCATATACTATAATGAGCCCTCTTTAACACCCCCATCTTGAGACTCCCCGTGGGGTGAGGTCTTCCCTCACTACAGCAGCTAATAACCCTTCATTGTTTGACCACAACCATGTATGGTAGTCTTTGGTGGGCACCACCAGTATGAATAAACACGTATTTCAGAATTATAGTAAGCATACACACAAAAATAAAACCTTACAGTCTGTACCAAGAAATAAAAATATTAATGTGAATGGTTAAATGGGGCAAGATCTTGGTATATAAAAAGCTTGCATTATAAATGCAATTTGGCTTGTGTGTTGTGTTCCAGAAAAGTAGAAGGACATTAATGGTAAAATCAAATTAAAGTCTATAGTTTAAGAGTATTCTACCAATATGAATCGCTTTCCTTTTTTTTTTTACATTTTATTTATTTGAGAAAGAGCACATGAGCAAGGGGGTTGGGGTAAAGGGAGAGAGAGAAGTAGACGCCCCACTAAACAGCCCAATGCAAGACTTTCTCCCAGGACCCTGGGATCATGACCTGAGCCCAAGGCAGACACTTAACTGACTGAGCCACCCAGGCACTCTCAGTGTGAATTTCTTAGTTTTGACAAATGTGCCATGTTTATATCACACATAGAATATAGGAAAAACAGTAAAAGGTATGCAGGTATTCCCTGTACTATCTTTGCAACTTTTCTGTATATTTAAAATGATCCCAAGCGACGCCTGGGTGGCTCAGTTGGTTGGACGACTGCCTTCGGCTCAGGTCATGATCCTGGGGTCCCGGGATCGAGTCCCACATCGGGCTCCCAGCTCCATGGGGAGTCTGCTTCTCCCTCTGACCTTCTCCTCGTTCATGCTCTCTCTCACTGTCTCTCTCTCAAATAAATAAATAAAATCTTTAAAAAATAAAAAAATAAAATGATCCCAAAATAAAAATTTTATTCAAAAAAAAATTATGAATTGGGGCACCTGGGTGGCTCATGCAGTTAAACATCTGATTGAGCGTCCAACTCCTAGTTTCAGCTCAGGTCATGATTTCAGGAGCAAGCCCGCAGTTGGCTTGAGGATTCTTTCTCTCCCTCCTTCTCTGTTCTACCCCTGTGCCCCTGCTCTTTCTCTTACATAAATAAATAAATCTTTAAAAAAAATTTATGAACAATTATCCACCACGGAAGAGGTGGGGTTTTTTGGGTTTGTTTGTTTGTTTGCACTGGAGTGGTAGTGATGGCTATTATATCCTGAGTGACTCTGGTATGAGAGGCAAATACATTCACAACCACAACTCTTCTGTCTCAAATCTACCTTTTGGTTCTTCCCATCCCAGCATGACAGGGTTTCTTCCTGGCTCCCCACACACCCCTCTGTCGTGTAGCCCCCAGTCACTGAAAGTGACCACATCTCGTCCAGGTACTGCCCCACTACTTTGTTGTCATATGGAAGTCAGTCAGTCCAGGATTTATGACCCTTTTCAGAGTGGAAATAAGCTGTAAGTGGTAAAAACCACAAAACGTACAGAAGTTTTGTCAAGGCAGCATTGTCAAATTAAAGGAAGAAACTGCCTCTTTTCTTCTGTAAACACATTAACATATCCCGTGAGCTCTCCTTGCTGAGGTGTTATGCATCTGCCAGCACCACCGCCCACCTCCCCACTCCCCTACTATCCCCACCCTCTACCCCCTCCACCCCCCCATTCACCCCCCACCACACACAGGAGGACTCTGCAATGGAAGGCATAGGTTCTGATAGACCAACAAAACATAGAAAATAGGATACCAAAACTGAACACCAGATACTCGCTAGGGAAATGGGTATAACGGCCTGGCTTTTTGTGGTAACAGTGAATAGAAAGTGTCATTCAGGGTGTGCCTGCGTAGCACAGTTGGTTAAGCAAGAGACTCTTGGTTTTGGCTCATGTCTGGATCTCAGGCTCCGGATATCAAGCCCCTTGCTCAGCATGGAGTCTGCTAAAGTTCCTCTCCCCCATCCCTTACCCCTCCCCACCTAGTGCTCGCTTGCGCACATGCTCTCTCTCTCTCTCATAAGTAAATCTTAAAAAAAAGGGGGGGGGAGCTTTCATTCAGGGAATCCTGCAGTAGAAGAAAGATAGATGTATTAAGATATTAAGGGCAGAAGATATAAATATTAAAGCAACTGGCGAGGGTGAGGGGGGTGGGGGAGCTTCCTGGTTGGCTGCGTTGTGGTTAAGTGTCTGCCTTCAGCTCAGGTCATGATTCCAGTTCTTGGGATGATCTCCCTCTGTGTCAGGCTCCCTGATCATTGGGGAGTCTGCTTCTCCCTCTCCTGGTCCCTCTGCGCTCTCCGTCTCTCTCTCTCTCAAATAAATAAAATCTTTAAAAAAAAAATTTTTAAGGGCGCCTGGGTGGCTCAGTGGGTTAAAGCCTCTGCCTTGGGCTCAGGTCATGATCCCAGGATGCTGGGATCAAGCCCCAAGTCTGGCTCTCTGCTCAGCGGGGAGCCTGCTTCCCTTCTTCTCTCTCTGCCTGCCTCTCTGCCTACTTGTGATCTCTGTCTGTCAAATAAATAAATAAAATCTTTAAAAAAAATTTTTTTTTTTAAACGATTGGGACCCTGGGAAGAGTTTATCTTCTGGAATCTGGTGATTTTCACTATGTTAGAGTGGAGGCTACCTCTACAGTAGTGCTATCCAATAGAAGTAGAATGTAAGCCCTATACGTAATTTAAAATTTTTCTAGGAGCCACATTTACAAAAGTAGGAAAAAATAGGTTAAATTAATTTTATGTTTTTATTTGTTTCAACACACCCAAAATATTATTTCACATGTAATCAGTATATAAAATTATCAATGAGACGCTTTTTATTATTTTTTACTGGATTAAATCTTTGAAACCTGGTGTGTATTTTCTACTGAACAACACATCTGAATACAGATGTTAAATTTTTATTGGGAATATTATTTATATTTTATAAAACTTACAGTTAAAAAAGTAGATTCACATATCCATGTTGTTCCAAACATAGTTAAAAGTTTTCCAGTAACTGAATTTTCAGTATTTAAATTTAAATTAAGGCAAGCATGTGAAGAAATTGGAATTCTTGTGTGTTGCCAACAGGAATGCAAAATGGTACAGCCAGTATGGAAAAAAGTATGGCAAATACTAAAAAAAATTAAAAAAGAATTACCATGTAATCCAGCTATTACATTTCTGGATAGACTCAAAATAATTGAAAGTAAGATCTGAAAGCTATTTGTACACCAATGTTCATAGCAGCATTTTTGACAACAGTCAAAAGGGGGAAGCAACCCAATTCATTGATAGATGCATAACAGCCCTAAAAGAGAAGGACATTCTGGGGTGCCTGGGTGGCTCAGTCAGTCAAGCGTCCAACTCTTGATATTTGGCTCAGGTCATGATCTCAGTCCTGAGATTGAGTCCCGCATCTGGAGCTCTGCAGATTCCCTCTCTTTATTCCTCCCTTTGCCCCCTCCCTGCTATGCTATCTCTTTAAAAAAAAAAGAAGAAGAAGAAGGAGAAGAAGGAGAAGGAGGAGGAGAAGGAGGAAATTTAAGACATGCTACTACATGGATGAAACAAGGACATCAAGCTGCACGAAATAAGCCAGTCACAAAAAGACAAATATAGCATGGTTCCACATCGATGAGGTATCAAAAGTACTCAGTTTCATGGCACCAGAAAGAAGAATGGTGATGTTGCCAGGGACTGTGGGGAGGCAGGAAATGGGGAATTATTTACTATGTATAGAGTTTCAGGCTTTTAAGACAAAAAGACTATGGAGCTTGCTTGCACAACACTGAATGTACTTAACACTACTGATTTTTTTAAGGCTTTTTATTTATTTTAAAAAGATTTTGTTTATTTATTTGACAGACAGAGATCACAAGTAGGCAGAGAGGCAGGCAGAGAGAGAGGGGGAAGCAGGCTCCCTGCCGAGCAGAGAGCCCGATGCAGGACTTGATTCAGGACTCAATCCCAGGACCCTGAGACCATGACCTGAGC